ACTTTCACTTTGCTGTGGCCCTCGGTTTTCTTACCTATATGAGAGGGTCTTGATCAGCATCTGGTCTTTTGAACAACTTGCCTCGGTGGTTTTGATTAGTTTGTTCTGTTTGGATATTGGCCTCACCAGGCTTTGATTGGGGAGTATGACGGAAAGAATGTATTTATAACCACTGTCATCCAAGAGGGGTGTGTGGGTATGTTAAGAGCCAGGACCACTGTTTCCAGACACACAGCCTACAAGGAAGAGTCTGTGCTGAAACTTTCTTACTTTGTAATTGGGTGGTTGCATATACTAATTATGTTTTGCAACCTCTTGGAACTTTACCTTTCGGGGTGGCTAGGCTGGTAGTGGTCCTAAGGATGGAATCCAAGGCCTTATGAATACTAGGTAAGTGTTCTGCCACTGAGCTAGATCCCTGACCTCAGTCTTATGCTCTTGATTTTTTTTTTTTTTTTTAAATGTGGGTCATGATAGTGCATCCCCATATAGTGCTGTGATGACTCTGTGGTCATTAGCCATCGCTTCATATATAGTCGGCCCTCAGTAAACACTGGTATTTCTTGTTAATCTATGGCTTTACTGTTCCTATACAATTCCTGGGAGAGATGGCTGAGAGCCATGGCAAAGGTGATCAGTGAAATCACATAGGTTTTCCCTACTTGCTTTACACACAGCCTGGACCTGAAAGTCAGGGCATCTTGTGTGTAATAACTCTTTTTGGCAGCAGGCATGGCTGGGATCAGGGCCCTTTTTCATGTTTACCTCTCTCCTGGTGCTACTGCTTTATTTTCAGTGTCTGGGGCACAGGGTGGGGAGGGTCCTCTGTTTCACTTCTTGCTTTCACAATGATCATGGCTAGAGTGAAACCTACCTCAAGACAGAAGAAGGAAGAGCAAGGTGAGGGCTGGCACCTTGGCAGCCTGTTCTCACCCTGCCTGTTTGTGTGTGTTCAGTGCTTCTGTTTCTGAGAAGCTACTAGGGACCTCAGCAGGCATGTGCTAATCCATCATTTTTTTTTGAAGCCCACTTATCAAAAGCAAGGTTAAGATTTAGAGGAAGAAAACAACCATAAAACATTAGAGCTTCCGGAAGTTTACAGATGTTCAGTGTGCGATGCATACCTTTTCTTGTGAACGTCACTGTAATTTAACTGAGACTCCAGTGAGGATCACAGGGACCCCATGTTCCTCAGACCTACCTTGTGTGGACTGATTTGTGCCTGTGGCTCACAGGTGCTTTGATTTGTTTCTGTTTCCTTTTCCCTTCCTGCTTCCTTTCTCCTTCCCCTCCACTCTCTCCTGCCCCTCCTCCCCATTCTCTTCCCCTTTCTTCTGTTGTCTCCCTTTCCTTTCCCCTATCATGGATACCTATTATATCGGGTCAGAGTATAACTTCAAGTGTTACCTTGTTTTTGAAGCAGAGTTTCATTGTTTTCCACCATGAGGGCTAGCTGACGTAGACTTTCTGGGAATTCAGCTGTCCCTAGCTCTATCTCCCTGTAGTAGCATTGGGATTACAGATGTGCAATACTGTGTCCAGCTTTTATATGAGGTCTGGGCATTTGAACTCCAGCCTTACACATGCATGGCAAGTGCTTTGCCCACTGGGTTCTCCTCAGTGCCTGTGTTGTTCACTCTTGTCATTGTTTTTGCTCCTGTTATATTTCTGAATCTCACAAATTTCTAAGTTTTGATAGGAGCTGCCTCTCCAAACCTGCTCTGGGTTTTTGTTTTTGCTTTTTGACAGACCTTTACATTTTCCCATCTTTTTTCTATGTTACTTCCTTTCATTGCACTTAGAGAAATGTAACTCCCCTGACTTTATGTATTTTGAGTGAAGGAGGAGAATCTGATTCATCTGGAGAAATAGTGATAGGCACGTGTTTATTTGATCATTAAGTTAATATGTATTTTCATTGAGTTCTTATCATGAACTAGGCCTTGGGGTTATAGTAGTAGGAGTTCTGCTCTCAAGCATTGGAGAGTTTACTTTGTGTTATGGGCATGCAGCCAGCCATGTGATGAGTGCTTACCTGCAGGGATAATGGTGCAGGGACTGAACAGGGTATACCACTGTAACAAAGGGTTAAATGCATGGCTTATATTCTAAAGAACTAACAGGAAGTAATTGTCAGGACATGAATGATGCATTCTGGGTGAGAAATTATTTGTAACTGAGGGGTAGCTTGTTTGCATGGGTGCAGTGATAAAATCCAGCAAAAGATGAATTTTCTGTAAAATGTAAATGCTGTCAAACCATCTGAGAAGTATTTTCATGAAAGGTATTTGAAATAGGATTAGTATCTTTTATTAAATAAAGTATCACCACCTGTAGAAGTATTTTTACTGAAGTCTGATGAACCTTTAATGATCAGATTATTTGGGTCATTACTAAGTTAATTGAGACTGCTCTGGGATTGAGACCCTCTGAGATTGAAACCCTGATAATGAAAAGGTAAGTTGCAGAATGACCTTATGGCCTCATGCACAAACTTCAAAAACAAATGTGAATTTTTTCATTAGTATAGCAAAGCACTATAATTGTGACAGGATTTTATTTTCTAGGATTGCAAAAATATTTCAATATCTGGGAATCTATCAACATGATTCATTATATACTAAGTTAAGAGAGCTAAAGAAATTGTATCAGTGAAGCTAATGGGGAAATAGTTAGAGATTCTATACAGATGTGAGTAACTGCAGGGGAGGTACATGTTATGTAACCACTCCTGCAGAATAGATTTTCAAGTACAGCCGTACCACCCAGGAATTTCCAGGTCATTGTGACAGGTGGGCAGATTGATAAATTACTTTCTAGTAACTAATATTAATACAAAAAAAGTATTAGAAGACTCCAGTAAAAGAATATGCTACTACTTCCCTTTAGGGAGGGGGTCATTCATGGCCAGGCATCCAAGTTGAGGCAATATAAAACCAGTAGGCTTAGTAGACAGGGATTGGAAAGAATTAGAATTGGTGGTGGTAGGCATGCCATATGGACAGGGTCAGGAGCTCAGAAGTTCATAATAAACCCTGGATTACTGTTGACATGCAGGAAATGCTGTGGTGGTCATCTACAGACAGATATAGTCCTCAGTGGAGGGCATGCTCAAAGTGCTTCATGTGAGGGTGAGTGCTTCCGCAGGGGAATTCACAAGGCTGTAGGGTGCATAGCTGACTCTTGTTTTCATATTGAGTTTTACCTTTTTCCTCTTAATACAGCCCCAGCATTTTACCTATTTCCTTATCTCTGAGGCATAGCTAATTAACCCAGTATACCCAGCTGGTAAGTAGTACAGGCTTGCTCTGCAAATTTGCATTTTTGTCTTAGAGATCATTACATGTTATATTCATTTGCATTAGAAAGCTTTTGTTTTGTTTACAGCAAAGGTGCAATGATGCTATTAACCCACTTAAAGAAAGATAAATAATTAAAATTTATACTATAAGAGCACATAGAGCTTTAGAAATTTTAAACCTTCCAACCCTTTTTTTTTCATTTATTCCTTGTTTTATACTCACCCTAGTCATGCTGAAAGTCAAAATAGTACTGTCATCCTTTTTATTTTTTTCTATTCCAACCTTAGAGATAGGCTTAGTTTTGGTACTTAAGTCTCTTTAAATGAAACCAAATGTTTAGCCGGACTTAAAAACTCTGAGTAAAGTAGACGTTTGTTGATTTTTGTTCTTTATTGTTTTTGTGGAAAGCCTTAGTGGTAATTTAAGGATATCTAAAATGTGGTCCTGTCATAAGGTCATAGTTTCTCAAGTGTCTGTGTCTCAGTGCACATTCAAGGGGAGGAAAAGGAAAAGAAGATCTCTGAGGTCAGAGGGATGCCAGTGTCACCATTGGCTTTGGCAGTTTCTTCCCCTTTGGTTGTTCATGGAGTTATCACCATATTTTGATAGAACAGTACCTATTTCTCTTTGGGTAAAATGGTCTATAATTCTCAGTCTCTCAGTCATTTTCGATGGGAATGGATCTACTCCATCCCCCCTAGTTTTCATTGCAATTGATGATATGTGAATAAAGCCCTTTGATATTGTTTATTGGTTTGCATAAAATGTCCATAAATTAAGGAGGCCTGGAATTTGTAAATCATAACTTTTTCACCATGCTATCAGAAGGGCTTCAGCGTGTACTGTTTGTTCATGGCTTGGGCACATGTGAATTCCTCCCAGTGCTGTGTGGCAGCTTTTTCTTGTCTCTCTATTGCTATGGCACAGGCTGAGGCCTTCATCTGTTCATCGGTTCCTGCGTTTGCTCTGTGCTTTGTCTTTATAGACATCTGGAGGTAATCATGTCGCCCTCTTAATTAATTCAGTTCAATTAATAAATTACTAGGTAGATGTGGTGCTAGGAGTGGGTGCAGGGTACCTTCCGGCCTAGCTGTGTCAGAGAGCTCTTGCAATCAGGCCTGGAGAGCCCTCCTCAAAAGTCTGTGAGATTCTTGCCCAGCAGGCAAGCTGCCTGGAGTAGTGATTGGCATATCCTGACAGAGAACTAAATTCTCTCTTAACACAGTGTGGATACTCTGCAAGAAGAGTGTCTGGGCCAGGCTGGGTATCCCTCATGCAGTCACAGTAACTTTCATAATTTTACAGCTTTGTTAGGTGTTAATGGCCATTTCTTTGATTTACAGGCCATCACTGCATTCCTGGTATTGAATATTCTTTCTCTAATAAATTTTAGTATTTGTTAAAGGCATTTTGGTAACCAGTGCCTCTGTGCCCCGCCCCCAAGTGCCTCTTGGTGTGTATGTGTGTGGCAGGGGGAGGGTAGTCTTGTAGAGAAGACATTTTAAAGCATGCTGTCATGTGTCTGCTAACAAAGTATTTCCTGTTTCCCTGATGTCTTCTGGATAAATTTAAGCTCAAGTGTGTGTGTGTGAAGAATTTTCTCCTTGGCCCCATCTCTCACTCGCTCTTTGGTCAGCTTCTTTCTCATATGTCCCTGAAGCCACACTGAACATTGTGTTGTCTGTTTTCCAACTGCAGATTTCAACGATGTCTCACCCGTCTTGGCTGCCACCCAAAAGCACTGGTGAGCCTCTTGGCCACGTTCCTGCACGGATGGAGACCACCCATTCTTTTGGGACCCCCAGTATTTCAGTGTCGACGCAACAGCCACCCAAGAAGTTTGCGCCAGTAGTTGCTCCAAAACCCAAGTACAATCCATACAAGCCGCCTGGAGGAGAGAGTGAGTTGTGGGCCCTGCAGTGGGAAAGAAATCAGCGTAATGAGAGATTGGATCTGCAATTATGGTTGTGTCAGTAGGATGTTTCTCAGAGCTGCTCTGTTTTAATGAGCTCCCTATAGTCTTTTACACCAGCCACTTTTTAGAAACAAAGAGAGTAAGTCCTCACAGAGTTGAATGGCTGGGGTTTTCTAGTATTATGTAGCAATAGTGGCCCAGATAGAAACAAGAGCTCTTCATACAGAGCCTTTCTGTAGCCTTGTATCTCACCCTTCCCTATCCTCCAGTGGGGATGTGTCATGTGTCTACTACTCCTTGGTTCACAGACAAGTGTCAAAATGGTCATTGGACAGTAGGACACAAAGACGCATAAAACTGCTGGGATGATATTGCTTCTCTCTCTCTCTCTCTCTCTCTTTCTAGGGGAAGTTGTCTGTGATCCATGTATGTTGAATTTACAGATGGTTCAGAGAAAGCCTTAGTTCCAGGGGTTTTAGTAGCAACATACTCTTTACATCAAGTGGATTTTAAATGTGTGCATTAGCTCAGCATGTAATTTTTGGATATGCCATGCACTCTCACATTAGCAATCTTCGCCAGTACAGGGTCTTGGTGTTGGAAGAGTCTTTGTATTTGTACCAATCAATGTCAAAATCCCATTCACACATATGAAGCAGTAATTTAAAACCTTGTAGAATAGTGTGAAACTTCCAGAAGCTGAGAATAAAAGATGTCCTCTATTGAGATTCAGTCTTTCTCTCTTGTGAGCTCATCTAACTTTTTGACAAATGATTGTTCTGTCTCTCATGTTGTCTCCATTATGTTCTTTGATGACATCCTTGTATTTGTTGTAGAAACATTGCAGGGGATTATTTCATACCCCGTGGTATTGCCTCCACTTTCTGGTTTCTTTTGAGTCTTTCCCACCTCCCAGGAACCACACAACTGTAACTACTCCATTGGCCTCCTCGTGTTTTAGGAGTCCTGTCAGGCACATGGTTCAGTTGTCAGGCTTCTGTAAGGTGACATCAGAGTCAGAGGATATAGGATGGAAGACCAGGCCTCTCTACATACTTGAGCTTTGGTTGATGGGTCTCTGTATGTCCCTTACTTAGAAAAGGCATTCCCAAGGCATGAGCATGCTTCTCTGGGAAAATCACAGTCTGCCTGACCCCAGGGCCTGGGATGGAGGTTTCAGACTGCACCTCTGCAGTTCACTAAGGTCATTGTGAAGCTGGTTTGCACTGGCTCATCATCCTCTAGGACAGTGATTCTCAACCTGTATGACACGACTCCTTTGTGGTCTGGAACAATCCTCATATAGAATTCATATCAGATACTCTGCTTATCATATGTTTATACTACGATTCATAACAGTAACAAAATTACAGTTATGGAGTAGCAGCAACATAATTGTATGGTTTGTGGGTGTATCACCACAATATGAGGAAATATGTTAAAGTACCAGCATTTGGAAGGCTGAGAACCACTGTTCCAGGTATGGTGGGTGGCTCAAACGTGGGTTATAGGGGGGAAATCCTTGCTCAAGAGCAGGGAGAGCCATGTGTTGGCTTCCCGGTTTGTTTTCTTTCTTTCTTTTTCTTTTTTTGTATGATTTTCATGGCATCTTTAGATCATTTATTCTCTACCTGGGGAATTCAGATGGACTCCCTACAAATAAGCAGAGAAGGTCAAAGTGCTTACACAGAAAATGGTCATGGTAAGGGAGCTTTAGGGAGAATGGGATTGGATGATTATATAACTGGTAGTTTGTGGGTAGGTTCTACATAGAGTATGTGTGCCAACAGGAGAAGAGAGAAACAGATTGATGCCCTTTCTTCACTCAAGTGCTAGGAATCCTAATGAGACAAGCCCCTGCCAGTACTCTGCATGGCCACCCTCTGATTTCTCAGATACAGTGGTGTAAATGGAGTTGTTTGCACTCACTTCAGCTCAAAACTACTTGCCTGCATTGTTCTTTTTGAATCAATGTTTGTACCACTTTCCACTCAATGGTTGCTGTAAGTTAAAGCTGAAGTTATTCCTTCCTTCTCTACATTTTTCTCAGTCCCATTTCTACACTTTCTACTATTGTTCCTACTTGCCTTCTGTCCCTTACTGAACATGTAATATATACCACACATCCTATTCTTCTGTTATTATTTGATTGCTTTTTCATGTAACTCTATGCTGTGGCCCACACCACACCCACACCCACAAAGACACTGAAGTTCCCAGAGGGGAGGTGGGCCTTGTTATGTTTTCTGGGCCTCGTTATGTTTTCTGGCTAGGGATTTTCTGTATGGAGACTGTTCTCTTCGGCAGTGTGTGTCTTCTAGTTACATGGTTCAGCTTTTCATTTGAGGAGTTGTCTAAACACTGCTGCCTTCATCTTACCAACTACATTTTTTACATTAGTTTTATGTCTACAATCTCTAGGGTTTGCTTTCTTGTTTTTAATTCTGATTGTGAAAGTACAAAAGCAGACATGTTTTCCACATCAGCTTATATTTATGTGATACCCATATGTTGTAATTTTCTTTGTAAACCATTGTGCTAATAATCTTTGTCTAAAGGGCTTTCACATGGTGGGGGTGCCTTTTCTCAGTCAGTGGTTCTGTAAACCTCAAGCCCTTTGATTCTCAAAATTTTATAAGAAATTTTATTTCCTCAGCTGTTTTGAATGTGCCTACATTTCCAAATACTCTGTGTTCAGCACTGAATGTTGAGGTAGCCCCCTTCCCCTTTTGTGTGTGTGTGTGTGTGTGTGTGTGTGTGTATGTGTGTGTGTGTGTTAAGGATGCATACTTTTTAGTGTAGATGATTTTTTTTTTTGGTATGCATTATGATCCTCCCTATGGAAATGTGATAACACAAATTTTTTCTCTGGTTCATAAAGTGCCACCCTCCAGTACTGTTTATGGTGTAATCTGGCATCTGCCTAAAGAATAACTAAGAAAATAGTCAGGCGGAATGAACAACATGAAACCTTAAAAGTTTCTGGCACAGAAAAGTGGGGTTCTTTTTCTGTTCTTCTTCATAGTCAGGGAACTATATCAGCTTTCCTAAGGCATTGTTTATTTGAAGTGGTTTTAAGGGTATTCTGCTATTAAAATGTCTTGTTTCTTTTTGTGTTTCTTCATAATTTGATAAGTTTGTTAGGTTGGAATTGTCTTATGATGTAGAATTATCACTCTGTAATCTCTAAAATGCCATTCATAAAACATTTTTATATTTGATAAGTGAATCTATAGAGCACCAGATCTAAATGATCACGTGGTCAAACCTTTTGTATTGGTGCAGTCCTTTTTAGTTTACTCAGCACTTGTGTTTCATTGTTTTGCCTTTAATTTTCAGAAGATAATTTTTACTGTTGCTTTCTCAGGCAGATAGAGCAGATGTTCTTTCCATTTTACTGATTGCTAGACCACAAGAAATGAAAGAGCTTATTAAGAATGATGTAACAGGGCTGAGTATATAGTTCTGTACCTAGTGCATGCATACATGCATGCATGTAAATGCACAAATGCAGACGTGTGTGTACGCGTGCGTAGACACACATCATGTAATAAAGGAGGTGCTTCTTCATATCCCCATTCTTAATGATTGTAAGATTGTTTTAAAAACTTTTAAAGAATATTTGTTTTACTTTTTGTGTGTGAGTTTTTGCCTGCATGTATGTCTGTGTATCATCTGTGCAATGCCAACTAAGGCCAAAAATAGCCCTCAGGATCCCTGGGACCTCCCCTTGCCCCAATTGGAGTTATAAACAACTATGAGGTACTGTGTGGGAGCTGGGAATTAAACTCAGGTCCCCTGGAAAAGCAGCCAGTGCTATTAACCCTTGAGCCATTCGTTCTGTGCCTGATTTTTAAGTATTATGTTCATTAGCTACTTAGCTGTACAACTTTATAGTTCATATAATTCCACTATTCTAATATTTCATGGTATTTGTTTGAGATTAAATTCAGAGGTTGGCCTTTTCTACAAATTATTCTTGAATATATGACCTTATGTACCTTCTGCATTACAAAAAAATGCCTATGCTTTTGTTGCTTGGGCTGAGTTTATGAGGGCCAAGCCGGTAAGGTGAGATGAATGGTTCTTAGGTCAGCGTGTTTTCTTCTCCAGTCTTCTGTGCTGTCATGTGAAGTCATCACCTCCAGCCCATGCAGAGAAAATACTTTTAGAACATTGCTACTATGGCATAGTTAATAACAAAATGCCTTGACAATCTGAGAACAGAGTTTCCTTGGTAGAAATGTATCCATACTTATTTCTTTTCTGTGTTCATAGTTGGAACACTTTACACACATTAATATCGAATTTTCGAGTATTAGAAGCAGGAAGGGTTTGAAACTTTTTTTGCGTAGTGCTTCCCATTGATTACTGTGGAAACGCCATTCAAGTGCTAGGCAAGTACCCCACCAAGTTGCTCTACACCCTACCCTAAAGACCTGCTTCCAGGACTCATAAAGTACTATCCTGTCTCTAGATTACTCTTACCATTGTTCCTTATGTAAGGTCGTCTTGCATATGACTTTGGTACTACAAGTAGCAAACATCTTTTCATGTACTTGCCCATTCTGATAAATCCTCAGTAACCATAGTCAAGCAGTTGCAATGTATTAGATTTTGGTTATCATATTTCAGAGTGTGTTCTGAGGATCTTCACATTCAGCACAATACCATTGACTCTGTTTGACTCTCATGGTTTACTCTCATGCACCTTTCTGTGAAGTGCTCAGCCACTTCTATCACCATGGCATGCAGGACATAGCTTTGGATTTTCAGGTCCTCCTGGGTAAAGAGGACCAGCTGTTTCTTCATTAAAGGACCAGATACTGATTGTGTTAATTTGATCTTTACATCCGGAAGAAGAAGGAATTTGCCATTTATGGGATGTTGTCAGATCACGTCAGATGTTCCTGATTGTACCTGCCATCTAGCTTCACTAAACAACACTGGGTGGATGGTGTGTGTTAGTTTTACCATGAATTTGG